AAGCAAAATCATAAGCTATTCTGCATTGAAATATACTACGAAAGACATTCAAAACATCTCAGTAAGTTTGGGTGGAAGAAAGAGAAATAGAAAAGATGATCCGATGGGCCTTCCTGCTCAACACTTCCAGCCTCGAAATCGCCCCCGTGGATATCCTTGTGCACCAGATGACACTCCCCAATGTTACTTCTCTGCATAGAACTCCCAAAGTCGTACATCACTTTCCCAGTACCCAGCTCCACAAAATGCCTATCCACCCCCACGAGCCTACCGAACCCCCCCTGGATTAGGTTTTCGGCCCAATCAAGCATTTAAGAACGAGAGGTTGCGGAAGAAGAAAACCTTCACTCCATTGGGAGAATCATATGCCAGTCTGTTCCAGAGGCTAAGGAAAGTGGACATGTTGAAGCCGATTCAGATAAAAATGTCAAACCCCTTTTCAAAGAAGTTTGATTTTTCTCAAAGGTGTGCATATTGCTCAGATGCCCCGGGGCATGACATAGAGAAGTGTTGTAATCTGAAAAAAGCAATTCAGAAGCTTATTGATGCAGGTGACATTGCCGTGCAAAATCTAGATGCAGCAAACACTAGCCAAAGTCCATCGCCTGTTCATAATGAGTCACATATGGTGGGTATGATTTATTTTGAAAAGGAATATGAGAACTCTTCTGAGATCCTTGGAGGTCCACGTACTATGAAGCTTTCAGCAATATCAGAGGTTGATCCTAAAAACGAGCAGGAAAAGGGAACCCAAAAGCAATTTGTTAAGAATAATGTGATGGAGACTTGTGAGGTCCCAGTATTGTTGATGCAGAAGTCAATGACTAAGATATTGAGTTTGGTGATTGGAAAGACACTCCTTTCTTGGTTAGCCAAGGAGGAGTTTTTGGTGGTTTATTTTGTTGTCATTTCTGTTGTCCGGGTTATTTCAAGGGTTACAACACGGATATTGTCTTGTGACTCAAACCCTTCTATCCTTTTGTTTTGCTTAGTTCCTTTAGTCGTAGGAACTCATTTAGTGTTACCTAGTTTTGTTCCAGGGTTGTACCCCAGTTTGTTTTACTTGTTTTGTTATTTGAACCGTTTCACCGTCTGTCTAATGCAATTTCCTGTCTTTTGTTATTTCCAATCATTTTCTTTGTTTAGTTCTTTTCTATCCTTTCATTTTGTCTTTTGTCTAATGCTGGTTTTAGTGACATAACATGCATGCAAAATTCTAGGCCTGGTCTTAAAAATCAGTCTAGTCATGAAGCAATGGAACAATTTTGAAGATGATGGGGACATTTGAGGGAAATAAGTAAAGGCATTTTGAGATCACTTCAAGCCCGAATTGTGTGAAATTGGGGAAGATAGAACATAAAGTAACCCTATTGAAATGCATCATGCCGCATCGGGTTGAAGCTAAAGGAAAGTTTGCCCGAACTGACGGGGGCTGTTCGTGGTAATGAGAGTGAGAGTGTTGTCCAATGGTGCTTTGTAGTTAACAGATGTAAATGGCGAACGTGTGGATATGGTTGTCAAGTCTGGTAGAATCAAAAGATGTTATAAATGTTTTCCTTGGTTTGTTTAATTGTGTTGTTTGTACTTGACATGTTTTGGAGATTGGAATGACGAAGACATTTTGTCCTGCTATCTAAACACTTTATCCTTCGTTACCCCTTTGAGCCTTATTTATTTTCTTTCATACCCCTCTTTCGGAATCAGTAGCAAAGATCAGAAACACAAGAGTAAACGATAAGTAAAAAAAAAAAGAAAAAGAAAAAGAAAAAAAAACAAAACAATAAAACAACAAAAAAAGAAAAAGAAGAAAGAAAAGAAAAGAAGAGAAAGAGAAAGAAAAGGAAAGAAAATCACAATAATAAAGTAATTCCTATGACATGAATTACGTTCGACCTGATTCCTTTAAAGGATACGTAGGCAGCCTCACGGTTCGGTCCCATCAAAATAAAAATCCAAAAGTCCCCAAGCAAGAAACTAAGGCAGAAGTTGTGGTTGTTGTAAAAAATCTGATTCCGAAAGTTGTAATTTTTGAACCCATGTGAATTGTTTTGAGCCTTTGATATCCTTTCTTTTTAACCCTATCCAAAAGCCCACGTTACGGTCCAAAAAAGACCTTCCGATCAGTCTTCAAGAGATGCCAAGTCAAGCAAGGAGAGGTAATTCATATCAGGGGCAACACTCTGGTCCAAGCAGAAAATTAATGAAAATGAGAGAGTCTTATTGGTGAAAACCCTCATGGGCACCGTAAGGCGACGAGAGCTGAGAGAAATAAAAAATTAGAGAGTCTTATTGGTGAAAACCCTCGCGGCCACCGTAAGGCGACGGTAAGTTGAGAGAAAGAACAAAATGAGAGAGGCTTGATGGTGAAAATCCTTCGGGTACTACACGTCGAATAAGGATTGTGAATCAGATTGGATAATCGGAGAATTAAAGCCCAGTTTCACGGTTTAGGGGTATAACAGGAGTTGAACATCAGACTTGCTAACCAGAATAGGCCACAGGTGCATGTCATGGTCATTAGAGTTGGTATCCACATCTGATAGGTTTCTACTTTGTAGTTTTCCTGTTAGGAATCATCTCTTTCCTTTGTCCTTTACCATGTTCCTTGTGTCTTGTTTACTTCCTCTTCCTGAGTCTATTTTGTCAAAATAAGTGAGAAATGACTTCAAATTGCCACCAGCTTTCCAATTGCACAAAACGGGATCTGGCCAGCACATCAAAGTGGCATAAGTTAGGAAAGAACAACGTGCGCACTGAGTTGGTAACAATCAACATGCTTTGGGATTTATGTGAAAAACAAAGGTTTGGTGTATATCAATTCATGAATAATGCAACAGATGGAGGATGTAGGGTGAATGGATCAAAGGTATTTTCTGTGATAAGATTGACAAAGAAAGTGGCTAACTAGTGACAAGCAAGGTCTTCCAAGCAGAAATCAAAGTTAACATGGCAAGTGAAAGAGCAATAGACCTCAAGGCCAAGGCCAATAGTTTAAGTCAAGAAAGAACAACATACACACTGAGTGGGTGGTAATTGACGTGCTTTGGGATTCATGTGAGACACAAAGGTTTGGTAAATGTCAGTTCATGAGCAATGCAACAGATATAGGGTATTGGGTCTGAACGGAGAAGAGGTATTTTCTGTGATAAGGATGATAGAGAAAGTGGTTAGCAAGGTCTTCGAGTCGAAGTCACAGTTATCATGGGAAGTAGAGGAGCAATCGCCTTCAAAGTCATGGCCATAAACCAACCACAATATTTTAAACTGACAAGATTTTTCTTTGATTGAAACATGGGCAGAAAATTTTGTTTGTTTCGAAGAAACCCTCCGTAAGGAAAAACAAGCAACAGACAGGTTTGACCGTAAATTTTCAGGCCTCCTGGAAAATGGGACTCAGTTAAAATTCAAAACATTCATGAGTAGCAAGATCTAGCATAAATGCACCCCAAAGAAATATAAGTTGGTTTCAAAGTTTTCATGCTTGAGATAGGATTCAATTAAGGGCTTTCATGACCCTCCTGGATAATGGGATTTAGCTTTAAGACTTCCTTTAGATAACAAGATTTAGCGTAGGCTCTGCTGTAGGGTAGTGTAATTCAGCCGTAAAAATTGTCACTTTTAGGATAATACTTGATTTTTGACTTTCAGGACCCTCCTGGATAATGGGATGTAGCTTTAATACTTTCTTAGATAACAAGATGTAGCGGAAGTTATACCTTCAGAAGATATAACTTAGATTTAAAATTTTCGTTTAATTAAGAGTTGTCAGGACCCTCCTGGATAATGGGGTGTAGTTTTAAGAACGGCTTAGATAACAAGATGTAGCGAAAGTAATACCTTTAGGAGATATAATTTAGATTTAAAACTGTCGTTTAACTTGGAGCTATCAGGACCCTCCTGGATAACGGGATCTAGCTTTCAAATTCTTAGTAATATTTGGTAATATGATTCAGTTTAACACTCACATATGTGCCCAGCTACCAAAATGGGGCAGAAAAGTTTCTTTGTTTTGTCTATTTTTGTTGAAATCAGGTACCCACTTGGAGAATAGGGAGAAGCAACTCAAATTCAGCAGTCAAGCGCCCGTCTGGAGAGCACGAGAATACAATTCAAGTTCAGCAATCAGGCGCCTACCTGAAGAGCACGAGAATACAATTCAAGTTCAGCAGTCAGGCTCCCACCTGGAGAGCACGAGAATACAATTCAAGTTCAGCAGTCAGGCGCCCACCTGGAGAGCGTGGGAATACAATTCATGTTCAGCAGCCAGGCGCCCACCTGGAGAGCACGGGAATACAATTCAAGTTCAGCAATCAAGCGCCCACCAGGAGAGCACGGGAATACAGTTCAAGTTCAGCAATCAGGCGCCCATCTGGAGAGCACGGGAATACAGTTCAAGCTCCGCAATCAGGCGTCCACCTAGAGAGCACGAGAATACAGTTCAAGTTCAGCAATTAGGTGCCCACCTAGAGAGCATGGGAATACAGTTCAAGTTTAGCAATCAGGAGTCCCACCTAGAGAACAATGCAATTCAAGCGTCGGTAATCAGGAGCCCACTTGGAGAACAAAGCAGCAATTCAAGTGTTGGTAATCACGAGCCACCTGAAGAACGAAGGGAAAGTAGCAATGTTCGAAGGAAGACGATCAAGTTCAGTAGTCAAGCGTCCACCTACAGAAAAGGAAAAGCATCTCCGATTACAATTCAAGTCAGCAACAAAGGAATTTCACGTGGAGAGTACGGGTCGACAAAGCAACAGGAACTACAAGATCAAGTTTGAAGATATAGATAGGATTCTTGCAATGCATAGATCATAGTTTAGTCTAACTTCTTTTATTTTATCATGGTGTAATAAGGAGTTTAGTAAGCATTAGCAGCAGCAGTAGCAACAGTGAAATCACAGCTTCATGGTAGTCCCAGCTACCGAAACTTCTCGAACTACGCTGACCTGATTCCTTTATAGCCAAGGATATGTAGGCAACCTCGGAAGCAGAGTGCGGTCAAATCTTTCAAAAATGCTTCCCACGGAGTATTCAAACGTTCAAAAAATCGCTCGTATCCGCTCACTTTATCTTTTCACGAACCCAAACCCAATCTCCCCACCCAAATACCCATTACCCTTTACCCTACCCCTACATACATATAAAACATAATTAGAAAAACAAAAAAGGAGAGTGACAAAATCCATCAGATCCAACCCCTAAAGAAACGGCACACCCTAAGTCGTCTTCTTCAGCTTTGTTTGCGAAAAACACCAACTAGCCGTGATACCCTCTCCTTGATTCTCTCATCTCGCTTTCATCCTCCTCATCTCCCCATCGGCACACACGAAACAACTGAAAAATGGTTTTCTATTGCTTCTTTGAATCTTACAAAACAGATCTGAGAAGGAAATGAGCTTCCAAAATTCGGTTTTGTAAAGGAAATTGCTACTGTTTCTGCGGGACTGTGTTACTTCCGAGATTGCTGGGTGTCATCGCTCAATTATTCGGCAGTTGTGGCTTATTTCAAGCTCTATTTTGAAGCTTTCACTTGGGAATTAATTTTGTATTGAATCAAACAATGGAAAAGGCTTCATCCGAATTTCTTTAAAAGGTGCCATTTATCACTTTGATTTCCTATTGTTTTGATTGAACTAGCTGGTTGATGAACTTTTCTATTCCTAAATCATGACTGTTGTTTGATTTCCTATCTGTCCGTACTTATATTTGTTTTGGCATGTATATATGAGTGTCGCTTTATTTACCTATATTATGTTGTTGTTGGAAGATTTTTCTTTACTTTGAGTATTTGAATATATTAGTGGAATTTTGTTTGTTCACTGAAGTAAGGTGGAGTGCTCAAATATAGTTTGTTGCCTAATGTGAATATAATGGTTTGGACTAATTCTAAATAAAATCCAACTAGCTTCAGTCAAGTTTGAGAACCATCATGTATGAACGTCTAAAAATTTTATTGGAAGTTATCATATTAATTCGATGTCGGCAGTAAAGTTTGGGAGATTCTTTGGCAATATGAGTAGCACTGTGATGATTACCCAAATTGTGGCCACAATGACTTTGTAAATAACTTGATTATTTATAATTGGGTTGCATTCATTGGAGTGTCTTAATTGTATTCTAAATTTGCAAACGTACTGTTGGACATAAAGACACTATGGTTTTAACATTGCTATATTTTGAGTATGATGATTCCATTCATTATTTCCTAAATGATGTCTCTTGCGCCAAATGAAATTCCACGCCAATTTGAGTATTCTGCAAAAAATTGCCAACCATTTCAAATGGTAAAGCTAAGAAGCAAGGAGTTGGTTAGCTTTGCATCTCCCTCTATTTTTCTCTGTGACACATGTGTTTGGATCCGATTGTTACTATCAAATTTTTGGCATCTCGAATTTTTGGTAGTGCTTTATTGGCCCTTGTAATGGGACAGATTGCGTTTGTTTATTTCCGTTTCCGTTTGGTTTGATGCATTAAATCTGATATAGCTCATTTTTTATAAAGAAATTAATTTAGCTGCTCCAAAAATTAGTTCTTGCCATTGAAGGGTGTTTTCCACAATAATATCTTGTCCATAACTTATGGCCCTGTTAGAATTAGATCAAGATTTCTTTGACAAATAGAATCGAGGTGTGCTATTTAGTTGAATTTTCCATGGCCCTCGCAAACTTGAAAGTGCTTAGTTGCTTTAGGCACGTAATTTAAATTAATTTCCTTAAACTCGGGTGTGCATTTCATGTGACCCATCTCCAATTCTGAACAACGTAAATAAAATGTGTCGTGGACTGCGAGTGCATTTCATGTGGCATGGTTCAAGATGTGTTTTAGATAACGTTAAATCTTCCTAAAATTAATTAAAAGCGGCTAATAAGTTAAAATATACCATAGGCTAAAACATGTATTAAAATCAGATAATTAGGCCAATATAACAGTTGAGCGACCGTGCTAAAACCACGGAACCCGAGAATGCCTAACACCTTCTCCCGGGTTAACAGAATTCCTTACCCGGATTTCTGTGTCCGCGGACTGTAAAACAGAGTCAATCTTTCCTCGATTCGGGATTAAAACCGGTGACTTGGGACACCATAAATTATCCCAAGTGGTGACTCTGAATCTTTAAATGAAATAATCCTGTTTTGATTGTCACTTAAATTGAAAAAACTCCCTTATATCTCCCTCGGGGATAGGAAAAAGGAGGTGTGACACTTGGGCTCTAATAACTCATCTGCAAAGCGACAATAATATTCTAACCTCCCACACAAGAGAAAAAATCCCTCATCATGTTTGTATCATCATCAAAGCTCGTCGGTGCCCATATGATATTGAGTACTCAGAACTGAGTACAAAATGGGTAGGAAAGAATTTAATATATAGGCTTAAGGACAAAATAAAATCGCATGAAAGGAATCAATAAAGGGTAAGTTTCCTAAAGCCCTATAGCCTCTCAAAGATAAGTACAAACGTCCGTATCGATCCACAAGACTCTACTAGGCATGCTCATGAATTGCGAGACTTATGCAAACTAGTGCTATAATACCAACTTATCACGACCCAAACTCCCATAAAAACTATGATGGATCCTAACACCGCTTGCTAGACAAGCCAACAAATAATATGCAAAAATAAACTTCACTAATGAAAAGAAATTATTATACCCGTACTTATGTGATGTTGTATATTATGTAAATGACTTGATAAGCATGATTTAAATGAGTTTAAAGTCATAATATGACTATGTATGATGTTTGAATATAAAATATAAAGTTTAGGAAAAATCAAATTTAAGTTGCGGAAAAACCGACTAAGGATTTGCCTTGTAACGAAGCTTTTTTTAATTTTGTGTGTTATATTAGGTATTTTTGGGACATATTATATACCAAATTTAAGTTCATGAAATTTAGGTTCTAACACTCTCGACTTCTCTTTTTACGATGTTTGGATAGAGAAATATGGGCGTCGGAAGAAGGATCAGTAAGCACACATGTGGTTGACTTTTCAACCTTACTATAAATAGAAGACACAGTCTTCTTCTTTCCTCATTTTGCATAAATTTCATGCCTAAGAAGAGATTACATATCTCTCCAATATGTTCCTTAGGGTTTTGAAGCAAGTCCATCATCCACAACTCAAAATCAAGAAACGAACATGATCCTTACGACATGGTAAGACTTTGCCGTCCTCCTTTTTCATTATAAATCAAGTTTTGGATAGAGCTTAGTGGCTGATAAAGATGGTAACCTCTGTATTTTATCTATACAAGCATAAGGAAGGGTGTGGATCAAAGGGAACAATGTTTGTAAGCGAGAACACAAGAGGTATGTAGCGTTTTCGCTTCATTTTCAGTATGGTTTGGTTTAGCTAAGTTTTACCCTTTCTTATTGATCTTTTAAGAGTTATTAAAGGGAAATTTAATCATGTATTGTATCCTTGTATAGTATTAAATTTCATATGGGAAGTATCGAAGAAACTAGTTTAGGTTGGAACCTCAAAACACAACAAAAAAGGGCGAATCGCCCATTTGGCCTATGCCATCCGAACATCCGTTTGTTCCGTTCATTTGTTGTTTTTATATATACCTAACCCCCTTATGATCCAAATATATTCATTTAATATTATACTTAATTATCATGTATTGATGCTTATATTAGTCCTAAATCGTATTTAGACTTTCATGTCACAAGTTAGTCATTATGAGCCGACATTACCTTCATAATTCTGTTTTGTTGATCATTTGACACTGTTGTGGATAATTTGACCACCTTTAGTTTTATGTTATCATCTTAGTCAGGTATTGATTCCCTTGTATATTGTGGTGTTTTTTTTATTTTAGGATCATCAAGTTTTAGGAAAACTCTGCCGAAATTTTGGAAATTCAAAGAGTGGGACAAATATTAAGTTCCTTGGTTCTAAATTGATTCTAGAGGGATCCTAATGAGTTAATTAGCCTTAGTATCCAATGTACATACTCATTTTGTCTTTAAAATAGGTATTGGCTCCATCAAACTTATGGATGACGAGCGTCAGATTACGTTTGTGATTCTGTTTATGCTTTCCTTCGTGATCTCATGATTTTATATGATGTTGCCACATGTTTTATGCCTCACACATGCTTACATTGATTATAATTGGGG